ATAAAAAGGCTTTTGCAGAACACTAAGCCTAGAAACAGGATGTTCTCATCACCTTCTTCATTTGATTTAGGCTGGCAGCAACAAAACAGAAGCACACATTGGCCTCAGCACAGTAGCCTGGGGCTAGCACCAGTCTTGATGCTTAAGAAAAGGGGAAAAAGGACCAGCAAGTCTACAGAAAAACATCCAAGTAGCATGCCTGGCTGTTGAATATGTGCACATAGCAAGTTGTATCTTCCTGATAAGCCAGGGGGAAGGCTGGGGGTTTGAAGCCTGGGAGATGATCAAAGCTCTCCTCTCTGCTCCCAAGGGGCTCCCTCTCAGCACCCTTCAAACATCAAAGAGCCCTCTCCATTCCCCTGTCTCCCATCAGCACGCTCCAAGGCCTGTGTCAGGGCACTCGAGCATCCCACCAGGCACTTCTGCCAGTCCTCATCAAGCTCCCTCTTGAAATTACACCCTGTCTAAGGCTCCAGGTTAGCCTGAACATCAACAGGAGCTGATCACAGCCTCATCTCCCCAAACACCTGTGACACAATGCCTGCACTGACCCTGGCAGCACTGTTTCAGTCCGCCAAAAACCAGAAGAAAAAAACCCTTTCCCTTCTGTGCCGAGCATAATATCAGCACACAGCTTGTAAACGGGACAGAAAGCTGAACGCAGGTCAGCAGGCTGCCCTCTGAGAAAGGTACCACCACTTCCATTAGCTGCCCTGGAATCCCCGCTGACCTCACCAGCACCCTGCTAACTTCTGAAGGACGCTTGTTACAGAAAGACACGCTCTCGAGTCTCACTATTTTTGGAACAGCACAGGCAGGCTCTGTGCCTCAGCAACTGTCATCAGAGCCACACGGAGAGCAAATCCATATAATGATCAGAGTAACAGGGACAGTGCTGGAAACAGCATCGCCTGAGGGATGGTCCCCTGAAAGCACCCTGTGGTCATGAGAAAAGAGATAAGGGCAATAAACATAAAAGGCAACAACCTCTAACCAGTGCTTCTGACACTATTTGCATGGGAAGAGGATCTCCCCCACTCCTCCTCATTCTCATGCAGAAGAGCTGACACAAAAGGATTTAAAAGCAAACCACCTGTGCAGGAAGAATTGTTCCTAAACCCCAAAGATGACAGGATCTACTTATTGCAAACTCATTTTAATTGAAACATTCCAGGATCTACATTCCTCAGTGTTAAATTACTGACTTCATTATTTAAACAGATAGCTTCCTTCACCCCTTCTAGGCCAGTATTGTTAAGGTGTTGGATGACACCAATGCCAGGTAAACAGAAACAAGCAATTTCGGGTGCTTGTGACCCCTAACACAGAATCCAAGATTACCCGCAGGTCAGCCCCAGCACCTGTCAGCAACTCACAGATTACTGCAGCAGGAGCATAATCCTCTCTGACACTAAAGGGTGGTTTGTAAGGCCCTAGAAAAAGCAGAGGTAAACAGCTTATGCAAGGCTGAAAGTACTCAAACCAAGGCATTCAATATAAAAGAATTAAAATAACACAGATGTATCTCTGTGGTGAGCAGGGAGACCTCACACAGGTGCAGCTGGAGCACGACCAGCACAGCTCCATCCCTTTAGAGAAAAGGAATCTGGAGGTACAAGTCCCCAGCTGCTGCCTGCCCGGTGCCCAGCACGCCCAGGGCGATGCCCAGCCTCTGCCACCCTGTGTCTCCCCTTCAGTTTTGAAGCTGCGAGCTACCCAGCAGAGACAACACTTGCAACTCCTACCACCTAGTGGCTGCAATACCCCATAAGAGAGCAAGGAGGCTGTCAGGAGGTCAGGCAGCCTCAGCTCACCGTGGGATATTAAAGCAGACCTTACGCTGCAGATGAGATCACACTAAATAGAGATACTGCACAGAGGCAGCATCATAGAACAGAAAACCTTTCTGAAAACGATCAGCAACCGGTGTAAGTGCAGAAAAAACTCAGCTAACTCAAAAACAGGCAAGCAAAAGTAGCAGCAGCATAGATTAACTCAGACAATGCATTGCTGTTTCTAGTACTTGTGCCAGCTCAGCTAATGCTAGATTACCAGCAGCACACAATATCGCCCTGTGCAGCACAGACATGCCCTAGGCTGTTTAAGTCAGACCTAGGCTCTGCATCAGAACAGCTTGCTGGTGTAGGTAGAATATTATACAAGAGTGTGAATTCCGATGGCTCTAGCTCATTCAAAGACAAAATTCATTCTCAAAGTGCTGCAGCATTTCAGACGCTTTCGAGGTTCTTCTCCTCAGCTCCTATAACTTCCTCTGGTACTGGGGATGTACCAGGTCTCATCAGTGCCAAGCAGAGGGGTAACTTCCCAGGCCTCCTAAAGCAGACCAGGAGATAATTTCACTTATTTGCAATGAGTCTGCACTGCTGGTTCATACTGAACTCAGCACTTACCATGAGCCCCATGCATCTTGCAGGAGGGATGCTACCTGGTCCCAGCATGTCCTGACACATCTCATGGCATCAAGTTGCTATTTCCTTTTGAAAAAAACAGTAAGAGGCCTCAAAATGGCTATTCCTTTTTTTATTAAAAAAATGCTAAAAGCGGGCCAAGTCAGTCATTATTTATCCAGAATCTCCACCCACTGCAGACTAGAGCCATGCTTGTTTTTCTTATGACGCAAACTGTTAATGCCACATTTTCAGAATTTGGACTGTAATTGTGATCCATGTGATGTGTGCGAGTGAAAATAAGTACTGTTTTGTGCAAGCCTCCCCCCAACTCCAAACACAAGAAATTGGCTTGGTGATTTTTAAACACAGCATCAGGCCAACGTTTTGTCTTACTGATTACTCTCCGTCTTGCTCGCTCGCTCTCTATTTTTTTCTGACAAATAAGTGTTAACAGAGGGGATAACCCAATGCCATGTAAAGAACAACCATAAACCCTATGTATTGTATCAGCCCCATCTAAGCCCTCCTGGGAGCACTTTGCCACAAATACTCTACTGTTGCAATCATTTCTTCATTATAGCAAAAGGATTTAATTATGCCTTAAGCAATTTAAATCTGGTTATTCTGGATTGAGGTGGGTGTCACTGTATGAAGAATATGGACAAAAGACACAATGAAGCACATGAGTCTAAAATAAACTTTCCTTTGTTTCTATTTGTTTTTGTTTGGAGGGAAATTACCAGTCTGGATAGTGAAACAATACAGGACTCAAGTAAAAGAGTAACCTAGGAAAACTGGAAATAGCAGGGCCCTGCTATGACAAGCACCACTCCTTTGGCATCCTTTCAGAGACTGACCAGGCCGAGGTCAATGAGGACTAAGGGATTCTTTCCTTCCCTCCTCTGATGAGAAGCTGGTCCAGAAATTCCTGTTCCAGGCAGTTCTACCGTTTAGCAACCTCCTTTTCATTTCCAGTCTAACTGTATCCATGGCCAGTCTAGATTCATTCAATCTCAGCCTGCATCTTGACAGTTTTGTTTCCCTCCTCTGTGGCATCTGCAGACATCAATCAGATCCTCTTTTTGTTTTCAATCTGCCAGTCTAAACAAGCCGAGCTCCTCCCTTTCTTCCGTTTGCAAAAGACTCTTCAGTTACCTCAAAAGCCCAGCAGACCTCCTCTGCACCCAGAGCAGATTGCATCCTTTCTCTGAACATGAGAGGCAGTACTACAAGTGACCTTAAATCTTCTCCAAGTTCACTGAAAATGCATAGCCCAGGACTGCATTTGCTATTTTCACACCTATGCTGCAATTCTCCTAAACAAAGCCATAACAACAGGTTGCAAAAATGCTGCTGCCCTGGATCTGACCGCAAACTGCTCACATCAATATGTGACACTGCTGATACTTCACATGAGAAGTTCAGTAAGGCTATTAAAATTCGGGCCCTGCTTCTTCATGTTATTGAACAGAGTTTCCTAGGTTACAAGAGACCACAGTGAGCTTTATGCATTGCTTCTGCTATACAGTACAAGTGCTCTGTGAAACTACATAAGCTGTATATACAAAAACCACAACACCTCATTTCTAGTACATGAATGTCCCTCAAGGGCTCCACCCTAAATGAGCACAATTCTTGAACTCAATAACTGAGTTGCACATCATCCCAATGAGAAGAGAAACAGGTGGGTGGTAGAACACATCTGAATACCTTTTCCTTTTTCTTCTTTTTTTTTTTTTTTCTTTGAGCACATTGGGTTTACAAAGGAGTGAAGCTACAATTAAAAGGGCAAGTTCATCCCTCCTCTTCTAAGGAGAAAACAAACCCTATTAGCATTTACCAAAGGACAAAAAGCAACTTGAAGTCAGCCCAGGAAGTCTTTAAGAGCTACACTGTGAAAATACTTTGGTCCTACATAACAACTTAGCTCAGGGTCTCCCAAACTTATCTCACTGTGATACTGCTGTGGCCACTGTCTCCATCACAGCAAATCCTATTTCTACCACCTGCATCACAGGCAGAAGGAGACTCTCAGCTGGACAGGCAGCACGCAGTCTTCCACTGAAGAATACACATCACAAGTGACAGCAATGCTGTCTTTTGTCTTGTATGCTCGCAAGTAAGTACTGACTGTATAAGGGTTTGACTCAGTGTCTACACATATCAGTGAGATCCCCACCACTAATCCCAGAAGGATCTTTCTTTCAATTCAGAGCAGGCAAGGCAAAAGTAGTGCTATTAACTTTCAGGGAGGAGGTCAGTAGGGCCTGAAATCCCACAACAACTGCAGGACACTGCAGGTCTGAGGGCATTTGCATTATGTACTCCATGCATAAACATGCTTCTGTGAAAGATATAAACACAGGCCTCCCTGTTACTACCAGTTTGTTAGAGAGCTTACAGAATGCCAGGATTTTGTTTGACAAACGCCTGTTAGAGGTCCACAGCTCACCCCTGAGCAGACAGCTTTCTCCTGAGTTTAAGGCCTACGTTTACAACAGGTGGGGAAAAACACAGGAGAGTGCCCCTACTTTGAACATGCCAGGCAGTATCAGGAAGAAGGCTTTCCACTGCCTGAGCTATACTTACAGGAGTTTGGAAGCAACAGTAGAGCTTGGTGAGGAATGGGTGATTCCTTGCTAAGGAGAGGATGCGTTTCTCAGTCATGGTGCACTCAACATCGTCATCCTGGAGAATGACGTCCTTCTTAAGCACCTTCACTGCGTAGAGCTGCCCACTCTCTTTCATCTTGGCAAGCATCACCTAAACCAAGAGAGAGGATGAGTCACAAGGGCTCAGCCCTTGGTCTCTTTGAGCAATACAGAGACTATCGTACCTTCTTACACTAGAAAGGTCAGTTATCTGTGATCAGGCTCGTGGGTGCAAGTGAATCAGACTGTTCGCATGAACATCAGAGTACGACCAATGACACATACACTACTGCCTGCAACAGTCTTCTGCCCACAGACTCCAATGCCTGCTCTGGGGCTAGATGCTCAAAATCATCCATGGTCAGTCAAACACCTGTGCCAGTGCAGACCATCCGTCTCAGTTCCCTCCTCAGTTATCAATTCCAAGTGCAATATTTTACACTGGCTTTGTGGCAAAGCAGAGAAACAAAACCCTAGTCTTGCTGTGTTCGAAACTACTGCCTTGGCTCTTTTAAAGGAAAAGTTTTCGTACACTCCAAGAAATGCTGCTAAAATTAGTGCCAATGCACACAGTTGTAGTGCTTGGTACGGGATATGGCATCTTTGGTTTTTGTATTAGTTTTATTTTGTGATAACCCATTCTTTACTTTGCTATCAGATTTCTTTATTTTCTCTTTTCTCCAGGCGTTCTCTAAGCAGCCTTGTCACACAGGGCTTAAAAAGCACAGCCCACTGGGCAACCTGCATGTCCCATAATGAAGTAATTTCACATACCTCAAAGCTTCTTAAACAAAAAACAGAGTATTTCCCCCCAAAGAGCCACAAACTCACCTTTCCAAAACTGCCTTTTCCCAACACACGAAGGAAGGTCAAGTCTTTGATCCCAAGTTTGCTCGCTGAACTTTCACTAACCCCGTTGTTATCTTTCAAGCTGCCTTTTCCCTGATGTCTCAAAGATGATCTTGAAGTCAGTTTCTGTGGAAAAGAGTAAGTAAATATCAATCTGCATAGAAATTTTACTTTGCCTCAGAGGTGATCACAGGTCAGCAATGTAGGCATGTAGGACCTGTTCAAATGCACTGCCAAGGCCACTGGAATGGAAAGTGTATGGGTACTGATGATACCCCACACAGCTGCTATGTGTGACCAGCCATCCTCATCAGTGTGCAGCAATGTGCTGAGACATCAGAACTGGTTCCTGACCCAAGCATTTTAAGCCATAAATTACCCCACAGCAGACCCAAGAGACAAGTCTGCCTCTCTCCAGCCTCACTCCCCATAAAAATAGGACTAGTGTGGAAAATAAAGTCTCCCAACAAACATCAGAGGAGGCCTACACCATTTCTGCAATATGAAAAGTGATGGTGAAATCTGGAATCCAAAAAGATTTCATCTGACTCCCTCGGGTTTCCACCTGATGTGAAACCTCTCACTAAAAGCCCATGGAGTTCAGTGGGATCCAAACCTCAAAGTATTTTTCTTTCCCACAGCTGTCTTCTTCCACTGCTGCACATTTAAATGAGTACTGTTCATATCCATGCTAGCAATGTTCACCTGCATTTTCAGCAACCACATCAGTTTTAGCATGCCTTTCTAGAGGTCATGTTCTTGCCCTATATGAAGACCAAATCAGCCTTCAGTATCCTCAGTTCTCAGCTTTCCATACTCAGTATGAGAAAACACAGAAATTGAAAACACTTTTGTTCCATTTGTTAGTATGAACAAAGTCACAGGGACTTCTCGAGCTCCACCTTGTGATTACTCCGGTGTAATGCAAAGTTCTTCCATGCACAAGAACATCTGCCTTGCTGCTACGGGAATGGTAGCCACAGCTACACGCACAGCACCAAAAGCACTCAGGACAACATCCAACAAAACTCTCCAATTTAACCTCCTGAACACTAAACAAAGCCTTTAGCTTACATGTAATAAGAGGAGATTGTTTCTTGTTCTCATCTTCTTTTGCTGTACAGATTACATAAGCAGTGAATGTGAACAAGTGCTGAATTTCACAAAACTAAGATAACTGTGTAGGGACATCCTCACAACTCCAAGAATAAAGGAACCCTGAAGTGCTACAGCATGAAGAAGGAAAATAAGAAAGTCCAATTTTGTATGAACAAACTGAAGCCAAAAGGGGCAGCACAGCTTAATGAGCACACAATTTTGAGACAGAGTGATGTAGTCCATCAGTGGAGCAGACTCACATGATTAACCATGTCAGGCAAACATCTTTTCATTTTGAATTTACTTTTTTAAGTCAAATAAAAATGTCTAACATTTTACTAAGCGTTACTGGGGTCTCAAACAAACTCAAAACTGCTAGCAAAGAGTTTCATGGAAACTGACCTGCTATTAAACAACAGCTCTAGCTTCTAATATCGCATACAGACATTTTCTCTCAAGTTCTTATAGCTCCAGCAGCAATCTCACTAAGACTCTAGCTTGGACAGCAAAGATCAGAGATAATGATGTGTTGACAGTGATTCAGGTTTTAGCTGGGGAAACTGTGGTGAATAATGAAACAGTCTTGCCCCAAATTACTCAAAAACAAAAATAACAGCAACAAAGCTGTGAAGAGAATGCAGGCCTCTTGCTGAGCTCTTCTGTTGCTCTATCACAAGTAACACATACAGACAGTGCATTTGTGTTTGTGGAAAGGTTGAAGAAAGGCAAAGCATGAATTACACTGACCAGTGGAAATCATGATCAGTGGAAACACACTGACCATGGAGGAGTCAGTGGAGTCACACTGCTGTGAAATGTCAACAAAGTGACATTTATAGACTGATATAGAATCACAGAAGCACCGAGGTTGGAAAACACCTTGAAAATCATCTAGTCCAACCATCTACCTACCACCAGTATTTTCCCACTAAACCACGTAACACATCATGCCCCCCACCAGGGTAGAAGACATTCCTTTTCCAGAGGAAATTTTTGCCACAAGACCCAGAAAACAACAGTCTACTCATGCAGCCAACTGCCACTTGCTGTAACTGAAGTATCCAATTTCTTCTACACTCATACAAACTGGATTCCTTTGTAAATGTTTAAAAACAGAGGAGGAGAAAAGAAAAAGACTCACCGAATTTGGAGAAATGCTTCCTGGTTGCAGGCCCATGCACGCCAAGGTTTTAGCAAGCTCTGCTGAGTTCACCCCACAGTTTGGTGCCACATTTGCTTGACATCGGATGTGGACATTCATTTTACAGACTGACAGAGGTGATGGTAGTGGTGGAAAATAAAAGCAAAGAAACATTTAGATTAACTTAGGAGGCTTTAAACCTAAAAAAAATAACTTAGCAAAGGACTGTTCTGCTTCAGGAAATATACTGACCTCATTCTATAGTGGGCCTGAAAAAAGACTGTATTTTTGCCCCTGATTTAAGACTCAAGAGAATAACTTCCCAAAAGGCAGATATGCATACCCAAATTCTCCAAGTGGGGTGCTACGTTACCTGAAGCTATTCATAAGCTCAAATATGTTTGAGGTATATAAATGCCATTGAAGCTATGCCTGCCTATAAATTAGGATTTATAATGCTACAGAATTAGTATTAAACTTCCTTTGCATTTGCAGATATCTAATCTTAAGGTTATACTGTTCACTGGGTAAACAAAAACCTTCTTGCTCTCACTCAGAGACACACGTACACCCTCTTGTGGAAGATGAAGGCAAACGGAAATTGTTAGTTACCCATTTGATTTTACAGTTCAGATCACCAAAACAAAAACATGGATATGTTTTGTCATCAATTAACAGTGTGACAGAGTTAATCAACTTCCAAGTAAAGAGAAAACGCAGGAAGAAGTAATACTCATGAAAAAACAATTCAACAATACAAATTGACCAAAGCTGTGCTGAGAGTAAAAAATTTATGTCCTGGAAATCTGAGATGAACAAGTAGAGCAGTATTTCTGTAATTCTGGCAAAGATGCATATCTACTGCTTGGATCTCTCTAGATGGTTGCACAAATCAAGGCTACATCAAGACTCTAAAGTACACACATTTTGGTGAAAAGACTACAGTAAGATGATGCTCACTTTTACACTGTAGGCCTTGTCGCATAATTCCCCAAAGCAAGGAACCGCAGTGGTCACAGAACGTTGGGACTTTGTAGTTGTGGACACTGAACTTATGGGGAATGTTGATGCCAAACCTCTGTTCAGTCACCTGAGGCACAAGAAGAAAAGCAGAGATTTAAATATTCAAGTATACACATATACTGATGTTTGTTTACATATCAACATTTAACTGCAGAACTATGAAAATAAACCCAAACCAGAAAACATCCAAATCCATCACTTCACTGCTCTGGTTTACTTGCCTGGCAGTCCAGAATATCTGACAAAGCAGATTTTAAAAAGGGCAACCTACCCAATTTTACATTCTTACAACAAACTTCGAATTAGGAAGTGGAGATTACTTCATCACAAACCTATCATATTTAAGTGCCAAATACAAATTGCAGCTACAGCGCTTTGTAACCAACCAGTTTCCAAATAATGAACTTACATACTACATGCAAACATTTAACTTTATTTCCAACCATTGACTTCATAAGAACCACAGAATTATAAAATGGCTTGGATTGGAAGTGACCTTAAGGATCTTTGAGTTCCAACCCTCTGCCACAGGCAAGGCTACCAGCCTCCAGATCTGGTAACCAGGCTGCCCAGGGTCCCATCTGACCTGGTCTTGAACACCTCCAGGGACAGGGCATGCACAGCCTCTCCAGACAGCCTGTTCCAGCACCTCACCACTCCCTCTGTGAAGATCTTCCCCCTGACATCTAATCTTGACCTTTCCTCCTTGAGTTTAAAACCATTCCCTCTTGTCCTATCACTATCTACTTTCTATTTATTAGATTTAGCATGGAATAATCTTCCCACTTCCTCCTGAAGTTCTTATTTCTTTTCTCCTCTTCCTTGTTCATTTCAGACCCACATTTAGCTTCATTGCTTACTCTCCTTTCTAACCTTATATTTTTTCAACTGGGGATTGTTCTGATCTCGAGGACACCTTAGAAAATGTTACATCATCTGAAAGAACACATTCCCATTTAACCTCTTCATTACTTCCTAATTTGTGCTTCAACAAGCGAATGTTGGAAGAGTGACAAGGGGAACCCATGGCCTAACAATGCTTGAAAGGGCTACTGAGACAGTAAGTTTAAAGCAAGTGTTTCCTCCTCATTTCTGTCATCTTTTCAAGTAGCTTAATTAGAATCACAGAATCATTAAGGATGGAAAAGACCCCTATGATCACCTAGTTCAACCGTCAACCCACCCCCACCATGCCCAATAAACCACAACACTCAGCTATGTTATAAACCACTCACAATCCTATGAGATGGGTGACAAAACTCACCACTGAACTTGCACTTCAGCCTTAAGCATTTTAGATTACTTTCACCTGGTTTGGCGTGGGGTCACTTTAAGAAGCCAAGCTCAGCAGTTCCAAGAAGCAATGAGGAAAGGCAATCGCATGTATGTGCCACAAAGAAGGTTTCCACATGGGACATAATAGAACTATCTCCCCATTACAAACATTTCAATTGAATTTTCCTCAAAGAGTTATTAAACAATTTCCAATTATAGAAATGAGACACGCGATACACAGTGCAGTTCTAGGTAGGGACATCACTCCTGTTAAATACAGCCAAAACTAGCACACACACACACAAAACCAACCATCGGAAACACAAGTTATGCAAGGGTTTCTTTATTACAACATAAATAATTTTGTAGAGTAAAGGTATGATGCAATGACTAAATGGGCACTTTAAATTACAAGGGAAAAAAAAAGGCAAAACAAAGAGCAGTGGTTGGATTTTCAAGCCAGAGAAACCCACATTGAGAACCAGGTTCTAAATTTTGATGATGAAATCATGAAATCATGAAAATAAATTATCAAAGAAAATGGTTGTTTTGCTATATCTTGATGTCTTTGGATGAAGAATCTTCCTAAATTATATGCTAGCCCAACTAGTTAGTGGAATTAACAGAAGAACAACCAGATGATACTAACCTGCCTATTATAATGGTAGCGATGCACAGCCCTATCATTCTTCGTCAGTTTTAAATCCATGAATGAAGGAATACAGAATAAGTTTCATTATGGGAAAATGCCCAGCCACCCAGACAATCCTGAAGATTCACTAATGATGATGACTCAAAATAACAAACATCATTTTTACCTTGAGATCATTCTTGTTGGTATTGTTCTGGCACGTGCAAGCTGTAACAATGAGATGATGGCAGCGCTTGTGTACAACACAGGTGCACACTAGGAAATAAAAGAGGCATGCTGAGAAGAGCTGTCGAAAGACTTGGAACACATCAGAAATGGTTTCTTTAAGGATAAGTTATATCATCAGGACACAGTAAAAACATGAAAAATAATCAGGGTGGCTCAGAATTTCCAAAATCTCCTAACAGATATGGAGATTTATCTTCAACCCAAATCAACAGAGATTCTGCACCAGATCATTCGCAGCTGCCATAAAACATGGGTGATACACACAGAAACAACATTGTAAAATGAATCCAAACAACTGCCATTGCACATTATCACATGGTATTTCATACAACATACACAAATACAGATCAGAGATACCAGAAGTCATCCCTACATCTCAGTACCACAGTGCCTCTTCTGCTGTCAATTAGTTTGTTAGTAAGGCTCAGTGCAGTGCTGGATCTGGGATAACTGCAGCAGAATAGTGCTGTGTCTGGGCTAATCAGCTAGCCTTCATCAAGAGGGCTAATTAGCCCTAAAGTACAGCAGGGTTCTCTGCAGATCTGAAGCTGGCTCGGCTGGAACAAACTTGGGTTCCTCCACTCCATAACCCAACCTGCACTGCAGTCACCAGTAAGAGCCATAGCTGACAATGCAAGGAGGTTTTTCTAATGGGAACAATAAGTTGCAGATACATTTCAGAGTCCCACATTATTTTGTCTGTTGTTGATTCAAGCTTGCACTCATAAGGGTTTGAAAAGTAACATTCATTTTCACCCAGAGATTTTATGCAGGATAACTACGGCACAAGAAACAGACTGTGTTAAAAGGCCTGAATGACCATGCACCTGTGAAGAAAGTAGCTCTTCTTTCTTACCACAGAAAAATGGAAAGGAAGAACAATAATTAAGTGCAAATGAGGACCACAAACATCTACACAGCTACTTAGCCAAAACATGCATTCAGGCTGAAGTGTTGCACCAGGCCATGAAACTATCCTTTGAAGTCATATCCCTAATTTCACTTTGTTTAGCCACAAAGGGAGAGAAAGGAAGAAGGTGGACATTCAGAGTAACTGTGCCTCAGTACCAGTCAGACACTGCACTGAAGAGATGTTGGGTCTCAAATGCAGTCAGGCATTGAACATTTCAGGTGCAACTCAGTGGATCTGTGCAGGAGGAACACTGTGGGTGAAACACAGCAACCGGATCCCTGTATGTTTGCATGAACATGGGTATTACTCCTGCATGTACTCAAGCCAACAGCCTGACAGCTGCTCGGCTTCAGCTGGCTGGGGAAGAATATGAGTGGTGATTTCAGAGAGGCTTGTAAGCAGCAGCAGGGGGAGTACTCCTGAGAGCACAACTGACAGATGCAGAGTGCAGGAGCTGAGCACCTTACCTTGGCACTGGTATCCCTGTTTCCCAAACACGCCCCTGTTTAAAACAAAATATGAACATAATTTAACATCAGAAAGCCGGTCTACCTGTAAACCACTTAGAGAAGTGAGAGTCAAAAGACAAGAGGATCCCAAATGACCAGATCCCTGGGCTAAAACTGCTCAGCAATAATGGTGCAATTCAGTATGGGCCCGCGTGACCACAGCAAAGCATTGTAAGGGCCAGAGCTCAGTGCAATGCTGTCACTGTCCATTTATTCCTCACATTCCCCCTTACTCTAACTTCTAAAATACTCTATTACAACACCCATCACACTTATTTAAACTGATCCCAACAGCCCACACGCTGTTATTCTCTCTCCCACTTCACACTCTTTCGAGACATATAAGTTCTTCTTCCTGCTCTGCCTACTCCCCCTCAAATACCATCCCACACCTTACACCTTTACCGACTTTTCTGTTCTCTGGCATTTTCACTAGTTTTTCAAGCTCAAAACTCTTTTTCTCTCTGTATTCTCAAGTAAGCAGAGCTTACTTCTTTCCTGAAATAACATCTGCACATACAGGCGAGGAACACTGTCCTGTCTCCACACTCTCCCTGTTGGCTTTCAGCAACCAACCTAGACATCAGCTCTGGCCTCTCTGCAGAAGACTCTGGTTTGCAGTGTAAATGTACCCTGCCAATCCTAGTGGGCAGGGGGAGTCACTTTTGTAACCCTTGATGAGTTCAGCATCTGGAGTGGCATGTCCATCCCCAGACTATGAAAGGATGGGAAAGTCTGCACCACCACTATCGATCCATTCTTACCAGATGAACTCCTTGCAGTGTGAGCAGTAGGTTGGCTGTCGCAGGTACGTAGCCATGAATTTGTGCCCGTTCACCTGATGCACTCGCCTTCGCATGGCCCGCTGGCGCTTCCGAGTGAGGTTCTTAAAAATGCGATCCCTCTGGAGGGTCCCTATGCGAGAAAAAGCAACAAAGGTTTAGTGCTATCATGCGTAACTGTCACCACAATTGAAAATTACATTCTTCATTTAGAAATAACTGCATCTTCCCACCTTTCTCTCCCTCCTCTCCCTGTTGAGGCATGCCACCAACCTATTGATTCATAAGGTATAAACAGACCAGAAGCTCAAGGCTAATGAGTTATCAACACCCACAGCTCTTCAGGTAATAACTTCTGAAAATCTAACTGCATGCAACAGATTGACCAGCTCTACAGGGCAGTGCTGAGCCAAAGCAAGCACTGTTGGTGCTCACACACCTTCAGTACCTTCATGCTGTGCTCCTGTATCACCATGTGTTGTGTAGTATGTGCCATTCTCCTCTTTCTCTAGAGAGTTTGTTTCCCAAAGGGTAGACAATATTTTATAGTTCTAGAGAGCAAGACCACAGGAGCTGTAAGCATTTAAGAACTCCATCATCTCAAAATTGATTTTTATTTTTTTTTTTGGACAAGGTTTAGGTAAACTGCATCATAGTTTCCAAGTAAAGCTCAAGTTTTTACATAAAACAAGTCCCTCTTAAAACACAAGGCTGAGCCCTCAATTAAGAAAGTCATTCTCATACAGCAGAGACATCTTGAAAATCGAAGCTTAAAAACCATCTGGCTTATTGGACCCTTGTGCAGACCAGTCAGACTCATCTGAGTGTCCCAGATCAAAGCCTCATCTGGGCCACACTCGCCTCAGAAGAAAGAAATGAAATTCAGTTTTCAAGATAGTTGCATTCCAAGGGATAGGCTCAGGCCCCGCTAACAAGTGCATCTTGAGAACACAAGCTGGGGTCTGGCTGCAGGACTCCTGCTTCAAGGGCAAGGTGTTACAGGACAAAAGCCAGCTACTGCCAAACCCATCTGCAGAGATATAAGGGCACAGGAAGAGGCAGGCGGTCTGAAAACTTCCCAGCCCTCTGATCATCCCAGAGATGCTGAGCAGCAGCAGTACCCAAACACAGCTGTTACCCTACCACTTCATCTACCCACTAAAAGGGGGCAGAGCATTTCCCTGCTTTCAACTGGCTTTGTTGATGAACCACTAAAAAAAAACAACAAAACAAAAAAACCTGTCAGCCCAATCAAGGCTTGAAGTGTAGGAATCCCACATCACAGGCATATTTCCTGGTCCTTTTTGTAAGAGTGAAGATAAGGGAAGCCATCCCAGCACTGCACAACCCAGCCACTTCAAAGGGATGCAACACACATGATGTATTCCTCTCAGTATTCTTGCCACACAGGTTTCGAAGCAAAACCAACCATAAAGCCGACTTTTTTCTGCTGCATTCTCCCAGCCATTCCAGCACGTGTCCCTTCCCTTCCACAGGCACTAATGGGAAACTTCAGACCTGATGACATAACTGTGACACGGAGGTCAGCCCGTAAGACAGCTTACATTTATTTTTAAAATGGAAGCACACTATAAATTAGGATTTTCTCATGAAAACAGAAAAAGGATGTGGTATGGCTGATTCAAGCACTTAAAAGAAACATGCCTTTTTCACTGCTGAGCTTCAAGCAGTTGCTCAGAGACACGGGTGTAGAAAAGCCTGCCCTTTTAGGAAGTGCTTAAATACGTATTTAATTCTCACTGAAGTCAACAGAACTCAGGGGACCACAGGAAGTGCCAGACTGAATCAGAACATCGGTCCATCTCGTTCAGCATCCTGTCTGTCAGCGGGCAACCAGAAACACATGACAGCAAGATGGAGGAACCCTGCAGCTGTGAGGCAATTTGCCTCTTTCCCCCACACAAGATGTCATTTTCATCTCCTGAAGTGAGAGCTGACGTGCGGAGGTTTAATATCCCTTCCCAACATTCAATCATCATTGCACAATTTCAATAGCCTTGTTATCTGCCCTAGGAAACACGACGAGGTCAACCAGTTCATCTCTCTTCCCTGAGAGATAAAGAGCCAGCTCCTTCACTGAGCCCAAGCTTCACGTGAGAGAACAAAAATAAAAATGAAATTTCCTTGTATTATTTTGGAATTTGCCACCTTTAAATGCAAGGGAACATCTCCTTGATCTAGGTGTAAGCATAAACATAAGAGCTTTTCTGAATTAAAGCCACAAACCTCAGTTGGCAAAATCCCCAGTCTTGGAGTTCAGAACATACCAACTTCCAAAAGTGAAGAGGAGCGTTTGTGTGTGTGCTGGGCACGTAAACAAATCACCTAAAGAATCAGCCCAGCCTCCAGCTTGGTTCATACCACTGCTCCATTAGGAGCCCAGCAGCTCTTGCTCTTAGGATCAAATCTCCCATTTACCAGAGTTTAAGAGAACATGTTCCCCATTTCGCTCATGTTGTCACTGCCTGCGCTGGTGAATCACAAACCAGGCCTGTCCTGAGCCTCCTCTTGGCCAATCCATCCACCAATACATTATGCAGTGCTACAGCTTCCAACTTACAGACACACATTAGATGGGAATACCCTTCCCAACTATCCAAATGAAGACATCTTAGCTATTGTTTTTTGAACTAACATACAGTGCAATACGATCCTACGATTCACTGTTCATTAAAACGCATGCCGTGAGTTAATTGAGTTTTGGTGGGTTGGTTTTGTTTTTTAAGAACTTTTTTTTTTTTCCTAAACACCATTATGTATATCATTAATATTTAAAGCATTCCTCAGATTTCACATTTTCCCACACTATACTGCTGTAGCATGTATCAACTTCTTCATATGCTGCACATCTTATAGGTAATCCTTGCCCATGCTTACATCCACTTCACATTAAATTCTAACAAATCTAAGCTTTGCAGGGCCTGCAGAGTTTCTAGCATGCAACCAACCCCTCCGGTTAACTGCTCTCCCATTTCCTGATGCTTCTTGGAGTGAAAATGGGTGGGATTGCCCTCGTGGAGGTGGAGACCATCTATCGTATGATCTGACTGATCCAAATACACAGCCACGTCCTACAGAACAAATCTCCAGCAATTCCATGAACCACACCACAGAATGTGTGAGCCCATCCCTCTGACATCAAGGCAGAGTGATTTGGAGATGGTGGAGCACACCGCTCTCAAACACACCTTCTTGCTAGCAGCCAGCCCTCACCAAGCAGTGAATCCTCAGCCTGCCCTCAGACAGGACGGCCAACACAGCAGCAGTCCCCACACTGGTAGTGTCATGGGACATGATGTCAGTGCAGAAGTTTTCCTGTTCATGTTCTGCGTTCTGGAGAGTTTCCCACAGAATTTGTGTTTTCTTCCTGTGTGTGGACAGCATTTTACAGAACAAAGCTGTTCCAGACCACTTTAGAAGACACAGGCAGCCGAAAACCTCTAATTTCTGGTAAAGCACCAAACCAACGGTTCAGATGTCCAAATACTGCTATAAAAACAAGCAAGTAATTTTACCCAGTGATGGGAGCTGTCTGCATTCATGGTTAAATTTAGATATCTGTAACTATAGGGTATTTACTATGCCTAGCCAGGTGAAAAAGCAACCACAAAGTTAAATACTTCTATTTCCCCCCTCTCCACTTGTGCCTAACACACGCTCATGCCAGCAGCGGACATCTGCACACATTGGCTCCTGGCAGTAGTTACCTGCCCCTGCCTTCCCAGCCAGAGACTGGGAGACGTCCCCCTCTGTCTCTCCATGCAGACCCTTCGGACAATGAAACATAACCACTGCATCAGCTATTTATCCATACTACTGAATGCCATTACCCATCGCTCCGTCCAGTGAGCAGCCCTGGCCAGAGCTCAGCTCCTGACAGGGGAAGGACAAAGCAAGCTCTGCTGGAGAGAATTCACTCCTTTACAAATCTTTGTAGAACAGTAGTTTTCATTTTAATTATTTTATCTTAAGGGTTTTTTTCTAGTTTAGCTCTCATGGTGGTGTTGTAACCGCAGCAGCAAGGGAAAGCTGCACCCTGCAGTAGCTGAAGCCCTGATGCCTGACAGAGCTCATCTAGCAGAGCCTGACCTCACTGCTGCCATAACCACACGGGTGAAGGTCACCCAGGCACATCCTAGCAGCAAGTAGTACTGGGGGTTTTAGGAAAAGAACACAAAAAACAGATGAAGTAAATGGAAGGCGGAGGGGCAACATGCACCTTTCCAGCAGTGCTGCAAGAGCTCTCTCAATATGTACCTAAAGCAGGCTTTTTCACATTGACTGAAAATAAACATAGGTTAAACCAAGGTGTTTATTTTCCAAGCCAGAAAACATCCTATCTTATGAACAAATCCCTTATGAAGATTCGATATCATTTAACCAGGAGTTATGGTTATCATCATAATCTCATGGATAGTCAAAACCACAGAAAGCCTTTCTAATTAGAACCTTATAAACACAGTACAGCATCAAAGAGTCTGACAGCCCAGTTCTGAAATAGGAAAACTATTTAAAAGCTATGACCTAAAGCTGTATTTTCATTGCTGACTGTTCTGCTTCCCCAGTGTACTCACTACAGATTGAAAATCTTTCTTTTTTACAGATGTTCAGAGTTTTCATTTCAAGAATTACTTGAACACAAGAACCTGACAAAGGCAGACAGCCACATCCACACAGAACTTGATAACTACTTTTGATTTCTCTTGCACTTCACAACCATCCAAGCTTCTGTCCTGCAGTTTCTGGCAGTTTGTGCACAAGAACAGAGATTAGTTCAAATCCCAGTTGAGATTTATTGCAAAGCAGACACATGGCACATCAAACAGAGGTTGGGACTTATGTTTGAACCAGCTGCTGCTGCTTCCTCCTCTGAAAGTGGGAGACATTTGGTTCAAAGACCAAAGAACTAGCTGGTGATAACAGGACTGGGCTGCCTTTTACCAACATTACCCAGAAAGGCCATTTTAATGGGCAGTTCATCTTTTAAGATGCCAACTAGTAACTACTATCCTAAAGAACAAGGAGGAATAATGATGCTCTGACTCTCCAGAATAGCAGTTTTCCCATCCACAGAACAGAATTCTCAGCAGTTTTGGAGATGCACAAAATGTG